AACACACACACACACACTTACACATAGGGCATACACTAGCCTAAAAATTTTAAACCTTAGGGTCCCAATATAACATTGTTGGGTTTGGCTGTTACCTACGAATCCGGACAGGAAAGACGTCATTTTGAGGCTCTGTGCTTCTGATTATTGCTTGTTTCAGATGGCTGCTGCAGCAATAGCAGTAGCATCGTCAAACTGCTGTTGCCCCAGGTTGTTGGTTTTGTCGGCGTGGAACAGGTTCGCCAGCGTGCGGTCGCTTCAGGCCACATCACTGTCACGTGGTCGACGTCCGAACAAAGGGATCGAGGTGGAAATAACGGACGATGGCCTGCCCAAAGATTACAAAGTGCAGCAGTTGAAGTTGAGCAGCCGGCGACTTGATGCGCTCATTAGCCGGGCAACTGCAGTGGGAAGGGCGTTCGTTTTGCGTACTTTCACGCAATCTTACTTAAATTGTAATTTTAATTTTAAATGATGTAAAAAGTAAGGGTATGAAAGTAAGGGAATAAAAAGGAATGTGAATAAGTTTAATCGGATTAAAAAACCTGAATAGGAATGTTTCGGTCCATCAAGTCGCATAAATTCTTGTTTAAAATGACGTAACGTACAGTAGGGGGCCACTATCAATATGCATTTTCTAAAAAATCGTATTTTAGCAGTGTTAGCTCCTCACGTTGTCTTTGACTGCAGCAGCGTTATACACACACACATACAGCCCCCCACATGTAACTTAGTGAGCATGTAAAAACTTTTTTTTGGCTCCTGTCTGAACGTACCTATATTTCATTTAGTGAATGTGTCGAATTACAGGCATGCTGAGAAGATGATTTTGACCAGTAAAGTGCAGGTTAATGAAGAAGTGGCAAAAAAAGGCTCTTACTTTGTAAGTCTTTTTACCGCTCCTTTCTCACGTTTTACGTCTGATATGGGTGTTTGGTATTCCATTATCGCGACCCTAAAAGTTAATATTTTAGACTCGTGAAGTGCCCTCTGCGTAAGTGTGTGTGTGTTTGTGTGTGTGTGTGTGTGTGTGTGTGTGTGTGTGTGTGTGTGTGTGTGTGTG